AAGAAGAAGCAAAAGCAGAAGTAAATGAAATTGCTCCACAAGTTCAGGCAGCTGATAAAGCGGAAGCTAAATCCGTTGTAGAAGAAGCTGCCTCAAGTGATAGCAAAGTTTCAAACTCTGCCGAAGAGTGTGACGACGTTCAAGCAAGTGCCGATAAAACCGATTCGAAATCCGTTAGTGAGGGTGAGTCGCTAGTGCCGTTATTGCAAGGCCTATTGCAAAAGAGTTTGCCAAAGCCAAAAGTGAATGCCAACTCACAGAAAACTCACGAAAAAGCACCAAATACGGAAGTGAATCAAGTAGCAGAGACTAGCACACAGCATACAAATAAGGCCTGTAGTAGTAGTAGTGAACGTAGTGATTTGTATACTCTTAATAATTGCAACAACAACAATTGCAGCGTAAGCCACAACGACCAAACCAATACAAACAACAGCAACAACAATAATACACAAACTGACTCAAATACACATACACATAGTGACACAAATACAAACAAGCCATTAGATTCCAAAGAATCTCAACCGACAATGACACGCGACATTGTGATGAAGAACAGTACGGCCAAAGTTGGTGGTAGTGGTAATCGTTCGAGTGATAGCGTCATTTCCAAGCAGAAACAGATCGATAGGTTAGGCGTCCCTCAGAAGGAGGACTCCGGCACAGAGAGTGGTGAGGACTTGCGCCTCATTGCGGCAGGTCTGCGTGATAGTTTGCAACTACAAAGTGATACAAATTTGATTGAAGAGGTCACAGCCGCTCTAACACGTCTAGAGCTGTCCTTGAAAGAGGGCAAGGATATACCAGTTGATGGTAGTAAACGCGAGGCTCTGCTTGCGTTGGTCGCCCGCCTCCAAACGGGTCTCAGTTCACCCGACGCTGCACTGAGTCTGTCAAATATGGCCAACAATGCGGGGGCATATGATGAGGCCTCCTCGCCGGAGACCGATGGGCAACGTTCGAATCGCCAACGTTTTGCACGTCGACGTAATCGCAACAGTCGCCACACAGTCGGCGTAAGTCGGGAAGAATTGGCCGACGCAAGACGTTACATGGAAGATATGCAAATGATAGAGAATATATCCAATTGCACAACGCCTGAAAGCGGTCTGACGGGCAATCCTGTCACGCCGCCCCAGTGGTGCCCTATCGAGAAAAATCCGTCGTCGGGTGCGATACTGACGGGCAACTCGTCTTCGGCACTATACCGTCCAAATCAGTTTGTACCTGCGCAACTAAAGAACACAACAACATGCCTTAATAGCGAAAAACAAACAACTGAGCGAGAAAAGGATACCTCAAAGAGCAAACGTCCGTTGTCGGGTAACTTTTCCGTCAGTTTCGAGCCAAATTCTACCAAAAATGAGACACAAACACATTCGAATGCACCGAATGAAGAACCGACAGCGTCCCATGTGAACGGCTATGATTCACCTGATTCCAGTTTGAAATCTAATCGTTTCTCAAATAAAAAACAACTTCTGAAGCGTGCAAATACCATCGATATACCGAAGTCCAAAAAATACAATCCCGACTTTGACACAGATTCCGAGCCGGAGGACAAAGCACCACAGCTGGGCTTAAAGCGCACACTTCAAGTGAATGTTAAGCAAAAAGTTCGCAGCGTTATACCACCATTCGTACCAAAGACTGAAAACGATCACAAATTTCTAGCATTCATCAACAAACAAAGCGATAAGCCTGGTCTCGGCTGGACTGGTTCGCGTTCAGTTTCTAACTGGACCAACAAATTCGGAAACTTGAAACACACCTTTGAAGTGGGCGCCGCGGCACAGGTTACCACCGGCAAACCACCGCAAGCGCCCGGTCACGTGCCACACAGCGCTGCCAAGAATTACTGGCAGAAACAAGTAGCCGCACAGGACTACCATCTGCAGCAACAAGAACAACAGCAATATCTACAATACCAGCAACAGCAGCAACTGCTGCAACGCACTCAACAAGAGGCAAACGAACGTCAACGCCGCAAAGAGAGAGAGCGCCTTGAACGCGAACGTATAGAATGTGACCGTCTTGAGCGCCAGCGCTTGGAGCGTGAGCGGCAGGAGCGCGATCGAATCGAACGAGAGTACTACGAGAGGGAGATTATGGAGCGAGAACGTTTGGCTGCAGCACAGCATGCCGCCATGCCAAGCATGTCGGTGCCAAAACCGGCGCCGGTCAATCAATTTCAGCACGCCCCTCAGTCAGTTTTCCGGCCCATTGACAACAACGACTCCCTTAGTCATAACATTTTCAAACCCATACCGCAACTGCCGCAAAAGTTGAATACTTGGCAGCCACCATCCATTTCTAATAAACCCCTCTCAGCACCAGCACAGATATCGCCTGCCTCACCGCAGTTCCAGTTCCTGACCACAAAACAGTCAGTGAATGGCACACAAGTGACATCACCTTCATCCACCACCTCATCGCCCATAGGTTTGCCGTGGGTCGCTAGGCCCGCAGTAGACAATAGCGATTTCAGAAAGAAAACGCATACCTTCGAGGAACGTTCCCAAAATGATAATCGTCAAAATTCATATTTGCAGAGGCATCATTCGCTGCGTTCGTCAAAGGTTAGCCAACAACCACCAATGGACGAGTACAAGAAAAGACCCTCACTGCCCAGCACCGCTGATCCATATATGGCCGCACACAGTCAGTATATACCATCACAGCTGTCACAAGCCTACGGCTCTACATCTGACACTTACGGTCCGCCACCACCACCAACCAATATCTCATTTACGTATGCCGACATGGCGCGCAACAGCAACTACAAAAGTTATCCCTGCTTACCATCAGCTGTGGAGACTTCAATAACTGTGGACTATGTGCGGCAGCGCGAAAGTTCCTTAACCGATCCGAATGCGACACCATTGGTGCTCACCAGTTCCAATCCAACATACCAGCCGCCTGGAGATACTCGCGCCTACTACAACAATATTCCTAGAGCAAAGCAATTCGATTATGTCAGCCCTATGGGAAGCGCGCCAACAAGTCCCAGTATCCTAACTATGCAGCAAACGGATTACACCGACGATGATCTGGACTCAGATAATTTGTTGGAATACCGCGCCGAAACTCGGGTGATGGGAAAGCCCCAAAGTCAAACCGCTGTAACAATACGCGACAGGCGTACAGCGCATGCCAGCGATGATGAAGTCTTCGGCAAGAACTCACGCAATGCGCGAAACCTTCTGCATGCAATGAGAAATATCGGTAAAAATGGAAATGGTGGAGCGAAAGTAAAGAAGGAGGTTGTGAGGAAAGTGGAGTCGCCAAAGACTTGTCTATCGCCGGATGGTCGTGCATATCAAGCGCCAATCGTTGAACCTTTGTTCCCAGAACTCACCAAATTTGAGCCTAACCGCACGCCAGAGTACATTGAGAGCACTATTAAGGCTCCGGTTCAAGCTAACCCGAAAAAATTACGTGCTAAAACGCCACCAATGCCCAGCCAGCACATCGATCGCAGTTTGCAATTGGCACGTGCTGAGAAGAAATATCGGGCGGAACAGCAGAAGTATGTGGAACAGGTTAATAATACAAGTGTAAATAATACGCGGAAAGAAGAGCAACAAATGCAATACCAGCAGGTTAGCGCCGTATCCAGCGCTTCTTCTGCAAAATCACTCCCCTTCGTAAGTGAGACTCAAACTGCCTATGTAGTCACATATCCGACAGAGGATATTTATGAGAACGGCTATGGGAAACAACATCCAAATTCATTGCCATTGCAGCGAAACCGCAATGTATCTGAAAATTCGTCCGCCAGTTCATCAGTGTCACAAAACTTACCTTCACCCGGCACAAATTGGACTCCCAATCCCATACATTCGGTGGTTGAAGTTAAGCCACAACACAAGTCCCAACACTCTATTGGCAGTAGCAGTGAGTCACAAAATATGTACCAAACACAAACTCGGGCGCCCCCACAGACGAAAAGCTACAACAATGTGCAAAGCATGCCACAACCAAAGCCAAATGTAGCACCCAAATCTGCGGTAACTACCGCGCACTATATACCCCCGCCACAATCCGAGCCTGCCTATCAACAACAATATACTCAACCACCTAACAAGAAGCCGCTGGCTCCACCACAAGTACAGTCCAAATTACCACAACAAGAAAGAGAATATCAGCCTCCAGTACAAGCTACATCGGCGCAAGTGAAAAGTGTGCCTAAATTGACGACAAGAAGTCAGGTAACATCTTCTACATGGCAGACTAAATCCTTTGAACAGCACACTCAGCCACAGCAGATATCGCTCCCAAGGCAACGAACCTTCGACTCAGCGATAAGTCCACTGCAAGCCCAAAATCGCGTACTGTCGCAGCAATCATTGGTCGCTAGCAAGCAGCGTAAGTTCGAACAGCATGAGCAAGAACAACAACAGTCGACGGAAACTCGACGCAAGAGTCTTGGTAATGTTTTCGATATTCAACAAGAAAAAAGAAAAGCGGCTTATATGTTGGACACGAAAACCGTAGTTAAGCAGGAGTACAAGTCATCGGCTCCACCTGATACGCCAGATATCGTCAAGTCATCACTGCCCAAAGAGGATATGCCCATACTGAAAAAGTTTGGTCCACCACAACGTCATCATTATATGCCCAATTCTTATCAGAGTCCCGTGACCAATACACAAACGCAACAAAAGTTCGAGAGCAGCAGCACGAAGGTCACAAAGAGTAGGCACCACGAAATTGTGCAACATTCAACATTGACCAAGAAACCTTCTATAGTGGAAATACCAGCCACTCCACAGCCAGACGAAGATCTCATACCGCGCAACATTGTCTTCAACAACATCAGCGCATTCACATCAATGTCGCGTCGGCAGGAGGAGAATGAGCAAACACATTTTGATGCGCATCCTCCTCGCACGAATCGCTTGAGCAAGAGCGATTCGTGGAACCAAATAGTACAACTACAAAATCAAGCGAATGCACAGCTGCCACCTACCTCGCCAAAATTCGGCAGCAGCGCCAACGGCGGTGGCGAATTGCGTCGCACCAAGTCTGGGCATACGTTGAATGTGCGCATGTATGAGGCGGGCATCGATAAGGCACAAATTGGTGAGAAGAAACGCACCGTCGAGGCATATTTTTCAGGCAAAAGATCGCCAAACCAATTGGGAGAAGAATCAGTTGAAATGAGGACTGCAACAACGACAACAGCAACAACGTCGGCCGCCAATGCAGGAGGTCCCAAGAAATCGACAATCAATCGGCACAAAACCAGCGAAAAGATTTCGGCGAGTCGCAAATCGCTGACCACAATGACGAGCAATGGTGTGCCTTCAGCTGGAACAACTGTGTTGGGGGGTGGGTTGACACGAAGCGCAACAATGCCGCATATTGCGAATTTGAATCTACTTGACGAGAGCAACGTTGAAGACGCCTTCGAGCAGCTAATGATGGGCTCGTAGGTTGTAAGGTGCGCGTGCTAAGCTGGGATCATTGTGCGTGCCAACCATTCCAAATTGTAGCGGAGGGAAAATGAAATTCGAAATGAAAATCAATATGGAATCAATGTTTAGTTGTGAATGCACAACAACAGCGAAATATAGCCAGACAGTGCTTTCAAGCACGATTCCTGTTGAATTAAATACTTGCCGTGTCTCGAACGTTGCTCATCGTCAGCACTATTAACTAATTTACTATTTTATCAAACCCTCCCTCTTATATGTATCGCGCTCTCTCTCTCTCTCACTCACTCCTTATCCCTACTACTTGATTTTTGATTTGTGGGACTGATAAACTGCAACGGACAAAGCGACTTGAAGCATAACGGAAGTTGAGGGACTACATGTTGTTTTATTATTGCAATTTTAACGCCGATTTCAATTTAATTACAAAATACTCGTACATATAAACTATTTATCACCATGCTTACACCATACGTCAAACACACGCAAACAAATACCATTCACATGCGATGAACCCTTTATGTCACTGCAAACGTATAATAAGTGAAGAGAAATGAGAAATGGTGTAGCTCTGAGGATCTCACGGAAAGTCTGACACTTTATGTTAATGAAATACGACAATAGTATAGCCATATCAACATATATGCACATATGCGTCTGAAAAGCCCCCGCGGAGTTACTGGTTCCAGCGATTATAGAAACCAACAATTCGGTACCAGAAAACGTTCCACCTTCATTTTCGCCTCTGCTGGTTGCTACACATTCGCTCCATACAGTGTGAGTTCATCAACGATTTTCATGTGCCACGTTTTTTCCTGAAGTTCTCCATCAAGTTAAAAGCAAAACGCCCTGCTAGTGCTTTGTTCAAAAAAAAACTAACCTCAAACTGACAAGTCCAGTGTAAACGTACTGTGTTTCGTTCGTATTTTATTAAAGCCTTTCAAGGCCAAGTTGTGAAGCCAGCTTCTTGCCTAGCCTCGCCCAGCCCTGCCCAGTTTCACAAGCAGCTCACACCTCACAGCTCGCAGTCCACACAATCCACAGCCTCCAAATCAAATCCACTCAGCGCAATTGTGCTCACTTACCTGACCGCCCACTTGCCCGCCTGCTCGCCAGCTCACACACATTCACATGCTCGTTTATTTTTTCTACTCGCTGATACGCTCGATCGTTAATTTGTTTGTTCGTGTTGATATGCTGCATATTGAAGCGCAATTTGATAATATTAGTGAATAAAAAATTACGACGAAAATTGGCAAACAAATTTTTAACTACAAATACTAATTTGGAAAAGAATCAAATCGTTTCTGTTTGGAATAATAATAATACAACCATGTTGTCCCTCCTTCTGTATATACAAACAAACACATTAAAAACATACGCATACATGTACATATATAGACCTGGTACTTTTAATTTAACTATACGATACACATTCACTGTACATTTTTTTGTTCGCGAGTGTATGTACATACATTAATTTTTTTATGAATAAATATGTATGTACACTATCGCTACGACAGGCAAAAACTGCTTAAGACGCATGCATTTTTTTAATAACTATGCTACAAATTTGTTCAAGAAGTTGTTGCTCGTTGCTTCTTATTACTTTTTTTTTTTAATGCCGTCTTTTTTCCATTCATATGCGAATATATACTTACTTATCATATATATAGTATGTAGTATGTTCATCAGACCGTACCGGAAAAAAAGTTCGCCGCACACCGTTGAGTCTAAGGTATTTTTGCGAAGCAATTTCGACTGGTTCGAGGGGTCGACTTTTTACATTTTTCGTCAAAAGTTCGGCATTTGAAGTTACATCTTAAAGGAGACAATTTTTTTAATTTTTTTTTTTTCTCAAGTACCCCGTTCTAGTACTTATCCACTAGATCTCAGTGCCTACCACCCTAACGTACCACGCTAATGTCAGTAAATTAAAGCTCAACAAAAGTCCATAAACTTTTGCTAAGGGAGTATTTCGATTATTCTAGTAGAACTATTTTAAAAAGGATTTCTTGTTGCCGAATGTAGTTGTCACCGAAAAATCTGAAAAGGGTCGCCTTTTAGGTTCGGTAAATTTTTTCTTTTAACGAATCGCCTTGCAAAACTACTTTAGACTCAGAGGTGTACGGCGAACTTTTTTTGCTTGCTTGTAATGTGGTACGATCTAATGAAAATGCATACACTCTTTTTTATACTTAAATAAGAAATTTCGTTCTCTTCGTTATATTGCATGCGATTTTTATACATTTTCTTTTTCATACTAGATACAATATTTTCTAGAGGTGTATACAGTGGGACCTTTTAACTAGTGTTATGCATTTTTTTATGAAACCTCTTAGAAATGTTGTGTTAAGTACTGAAACTATTTGAATATACGTGTAAATATTTAAAGGCAATGCAATTTTTAGGTATTTAATTTAAAGTTTATTTTTGTGAAAACATCATTGTCTTGCAAGCTTTATTATGCCGCTAATGTCGTTTCGAGGAAACTTAATTTTAAAATTATTTATTTTGAAAAAAAATTTTTTGTAAAAAATATGAAAATGAAATATGGAAAACGAAGTTATCTCTAGGTTTGGAGCAATTTTGGCCTAACGGGTAGATTCTAAAAAAGTTATAAACAAAGCTTATATAAAAATATATATATTTTTTTTTAAATAGCAGAGACCGTAACGGTTATGATCTTTATAATAAAAATCATAATTTAACCGTTAAAATTGAATTAACATTTCTCTTATTAAATTTAACAGTTGTTTTATAATTTTTATTTTTTCGATAAATTGTTACCGTTATTTTTGAAATTTATTTTTTTCTATCATTATTATTATATTACATATGTAAATTTTTATATCATAAAAAATTTAAAACGGTGATGAAAACGCAGTCTCCATTGCTATGGTTAAAAAATGATGGAAAAACTAAAAGTCCAAAATAACGATTCTCAAAAAATGTTAAGAAAATAAAGCTTTGCAACTGTGATAATAAATATTTTAAGCGACCCAGTAAAGATCGTAACCTTGATCGAATAATTTACCAAAATATGGGTGAAAATTTTTTAACACCCTGAAAATCTCTGAGTTTCTTTTCCGTTATGTTTAGTGCAACAAAATTATTTCAACAAATTTTCACCAAAACATATATATTTCGGACATCATTTTAGAATATCCTTTTACTCCTACATAGTTTTTTACTCGACTCGACTTACGACCTGTACTCGGTTATTTGGTGAAATTTTTTGTTGTTGATTTTTTACACCGTGAATGTAGGAAAAAACTCAGAATTCACCATTGATTTGTTTATGTTCCATTAGGGTGCAACACTCTGCATACAATACGTGAAAATACCTCCAAATTCATTTGATAGAAGAGTTTAAGCTTAAAAGGCCTGCATAAAAATGTTAAATATTGTATAAACGGAATCAAAATAATTTACTCACGTAAATCTCTATATTTTTCCGAATGTCTTAAAATATAATGGCCCGTAGTCATAGGGCAGTTGGAAAAAGGCTTTAACGATTAAATTGTGTTTTATTGTAATAATCATTTTAACTCTTCCATAGTCAACTTAAAATGCATTTTATGGCAAAACAGAATTTTAACTTTAAAATGAGGAGAACGCGATTTTAAAATGGTAAAATAGGGGTCTAAACTTTTTTTTGTTGTTGAAGTAGTAAACGCAATAACACCCAGCTTCGGTTCCCATTCCAAGCGATTCCAAACAATATTTTTTAATTAAAAATTTTTTTTTTAGTATAAACATTATTTTATTTTATTTTATTTTTTTCAAGTTAATAAAATTTTTGAGGTTTAACTTTAATTAAAAAGGTCACAGCATCCTAATATTTAAAAGAACAAAAAAAATATAAAAAATATTTCCTGACTTTTTTCGTGAGGTACCCTAATGAAGATGAATAAGAGTTTTTGAAAGTTTAATTTTTAAGCCGTAATGTATTGAAAAATAGTTTCAGTAACTTGAAATGGAAACAGCTCTACCTGAGAGCTCAATAAAATGGAGGTTTTTGTGCGAATTTTACTTTGTTTTTTGTACTGCCTTTTAAAAATATTTAGGACTAACCTATTTTTGCAAAATAAAAAGTTTGTTTTTTTTTGGGATTTTTGGTATGAGAATGTAGCTATAAGAAATTGTAAATACATATGTAGTACAATTTTTAAATGTGTATCTGGTAAAACAAAAAGTGTAGAGAACATTTTGGGCTTCAAATTTTATACAACAAATAATATACATATATGTATATCTATATTATAAATTAAAAAGCTTTGACTAACGCATGCTTTATATATATATATTTGTTCTTTTTTGTATTTTTTCGTATTTTTGTGCTTTAAAAATGCTTCAAATCAACCAAAACAAAAACTAAATATTTGAAAAAAATACACACACACAAATACATAATATGTAACTGACCTTCAAATAACCACCTCAACAGAGCAACAAGCTACATCGACCACTGAGAAAACGGAAACAAAGGAAAAAGATGGTGCCGTTGTGACAACTACAACTAAAGGTAGGTATATTTTATTTTTAGTTTTTCCTTTTATATTAATGTACATATTTATATACTTATTTGTTTATTTATTAAACATTCTTTTCTCGCAGTTACAACACGCACTGTAAGTGGCGCTGGCAGCTCTGCATCGAAGCCAGCTTCGCCGTTTGCGAAATTCCATCAGCTGGACAAACAAAACTCTCAGCAATCGCCAAAGTAAGAAATTATTACCTACGTTCTTTTTGTTTGTTTAAAATATACATAACTATGGATATAAAAAACATTTAAGTTTATTTAACAACATACATGGTTAGTAAAATAAGTATTGATATTCATGATTGTGTGCTCTGGTATTGGAAGAGTTCATAATAATAATAATAATAATAATAGATTGGCGTTTACACATATATTAGTGTTTGGCCGAGCTTCTCCTCCGATTTGTGGCGTGCGCCTTGATGTTCGCCGAACGGCGATTGTAATTTTATGAGAAGGTATTTTTCATGGCAGAAATATACTCACAGGTTTGCCATTGCCTATCGAGGGGCGACCGATATTAGAAAAAAACCTTTTTTGTTTTTATTTTTTGTTGTTGGATTGAACCATGCTTGAACCCAGGCCCTGCGAATGGTAGCACGCACTCCAAACCAATACAACCACAGCGGAAAAGTTCATAAAATAGTCAAATTGCTTGCAATAGGCCCATTAAAACTGTCAATAATTCAAAATTTTTTATTGGTACATTGGTTTTTTTTTGTAATGAGATCAGACTCATTTTCTTCTTCTTCTTGTTTGGTGAAGCGATTTTGGCTGTATTCAGTGTTAAGTGATGCCAATTGCTAACATCAAGTGAAGCCAAAGTTCCTGTCCACCTGGTCTTTCCATCGTAAACGGGGCCTCTTTCTTGCCCCTTCTCCCTTTCCACGTTGTGTCAATTTGTACGGCATGACCAAGTCAGCGTTAAAAGCCGGTACATCTTAAACCAAACTCGCGGCGCACTGACCTTAGTAAATATTTTCAATTTCGTTTAAGACGCTATTCGGTCACTCAGAAGACACTCTAGGTTATCTGCAGCCGAGTGAGACTGTCATATCTCGGGCTATCCGATAGATCTTCTTGCAGAATAGTATCAGCAGCTTCCGCTCGCATCATTGAGCTTACTGCAAAAAAAACGTATGCATATGGATTGAGCTGAGGTTCCTAACTTCAGAAATGATAGCTCTTATTATTTGAGCTTTGATACATTCTGACTTCTTTGCTACCAAGTTTTTCTGATATAGAATACTAGGCTGGAATATGCTCTTTTATTTACTATCAGCGTAAATACTCTCGCATGTCGAGCGAAATAGCCACCATCTTACCAAGTTTTTTCAGTATTTGTGGGTTGCGCCTTGATGTTGTCACCCAAAAGGGAGGGGACTTACATGTTAACGCCATGTAAGCTTTTTTCTTGGCAGAAATGCACTCATGGATTACCCATTGCCTGCTGAGGGGCGACCGCTATTAGAATTTTTTTTTTTTAAGTTAGATGTTGCTCGTACCGGAGAGCCTACCGAGTTAAGAAGCCATGCTTTTGCCGTATACTTGTATGTATAAGAAGTGACAACCGGCCAAATTTTTAAAAGTCTTTTCAATTTTTTTTATATTTTTTTTTATCCATATAAGTTGAATTCTATTATGTATAGATTTTCAACTCCAGAGTCATAATCATGAATTTTTTAATAATAATTTCAAACTACTTTAAATAAACTGTGAAAACGGTATTTGGTGGAGGAGGAAACATTAATGGACTATTCGTACTATTAATTGGAGAATTTAATATAAGGTGTTGGTAGCCGATAACAACAAACCACTTGTGTATACATTAGGGTGGTCCAAAATAAGTAAAGTCGAAATTTTAATGCTCTCACTCCCTAGGATTGTTCTATATCGAAAAAAATATATCGCTACTTTTTATTTTGATATCAAAAAATATTTAAAAGTCGGCCAAAGTTTTCCATGTATTTTATATGGGAAAAAACCCACTTTTCGTAGAAATTGTATCGGATTATTCGAAATCAATATTTTTCGATCGGAAAACTCTGTTTCTCATCAGCAGATTCCAATAATTTATACCCAATTGTTTATTTAACCATTTTTTGACGGACCCATGAAATAAAGTTACTGTGCAAAAATGGTTAAAAAAAATAATTGGGTATTATTCTCTTGAAGAGAAACAGAGTTTACCGGTCGAAAAATATTGATTTTCAAGAATTCTATAACATTTCTATCAAAAATTGTTTTTTTATCATATAAAATAACTTTGGAAAACTTTTAGTGCTTTGAGCGATCTCTAAATATTTTTTTATTTCAAAATAAAAGAGAAGGGGTATATTTTTGGGCGGTATAGGATAATCTTAGGGGGTGAGAGCATAAAAATTGCGACCTTACTTTTTCACATGCATTTTTAGATCACCCTAGTATACATACATATAATATATGGAAAAATTTACTCACAAATTCATTACTCTATAATATTCAAAACAAGATATACTATACATATTTACTTAGCGTTTGAAAAATACTCCAAATGACTTTGGTTTTTACTATAAATTAATAATCGTAGAAATTCAACACCAATCTTCTCAGTGTCTAATCAATTAAGACAATATAAAAAATCATTAATGCCAACTGTAGAGCTCTACTGCAAACTTCTTAGTTTAATTTTGCACACAAAATGTTAAGAAACCATTAAACAAGTAAAAAGTTTACTGCAGACCTTTTTCTATTCTCAAATTTGTTTAATCGCAGCGAAATTACTAGTAGAACTAATTTTTTTTTTTTCAATATTCCTTTGCTACAAAATAACGTTGCTTAAAAACGATAAACCCCTTGTTGTTCAGATCACCGTCAACACCCACCACTCCCGGGGGCACAGCCTCACCTTCCGGTTCCGCACGCATATTCCAATTTACTGATCCGGCATTAAATGCACGCGCCGCCACTGTTAAGGAACAACTTCTGCAGTGGTGCCAATCGAAAACGCAGGAATATGAGGTATCTCTTTTAATCAAAAAACGAAAAAAAACGAAATCTATTAAAATTATTCTATCAAAGCAACAATTAAAATTACAGCGCTTTACTCGTTGTTCTACTACATACTACCTTTTACTATCAAAGTTATGCTGATCGCGAAGAAGCATACATATTTCTTTATTAAACAAAAAACCCGCTAACAAATGTTACTTGCAGAAAGCTTAAATAATTATTTGTGCATAAATATGCAGGGCTTAAGAAATTCTATATTAACAAACGCTTCAGTTTTTCGCTAAAAATGACCTAACAGTAAAATAATGAGCTTGCTAAAATGAGTTTTAATTTAGTACACAGGCACCTTCTTTGATTTAAACTAACCAAAAGATTTTTACTCTGATCTGGGGATGTACATACATATGTATATATGAAGTGAAAAATACAAATATATTTCGAAAGTAAATACCCAATAAACACAACGAATTCGCCGAATCTCTGACGAATCGAGAACATTTAATTTTTCTAATCATTGGAGATTCTATAATCTTTATTCTTCGAATCGTTGGCGTTTCGAGAATTATTGATTTTTCCACTCAAGATTTCAGCTCGCTGGTGGTTTGAGATTGCAATTTATTTCGACCCAAGTTTTATATGATTTAAAAATCTAAAGAAATTGTATTTGTTTTATTTACCTGAGAGAGAATATTTTCGAAAAAAACTATTTTCTTGATTGTGCCTCGAAGACGATGCAATTAAAAACCCTTCGAGAAAACTGATTTACTCGAGCTCGCCTCAAATTCGAGACGATGCCACCCTCGTTTTTGTGTTTGTTGGGTACTTGAAAAATGTTGTCCCTTAAACAGAAATTCTTCATGATATTATGCCCCAAATACATTATTCCAGTAGCATGTAAGTCCAGTTAGCCAGTCCAGCCAGCGCTGGCGTAATGTAAATAGGCACTGGCATGATGAACCCATTATAGTAAAAAATCCATACCAGTAATTGGATTGTCAGTATATTTTTAAAAGGAAGTGCATCCATTATAATACAACAAAATAGGAACCGAGTTGGAATGACATTTTTAATTTATTATTTATGAAAGTCATAACAATTCGACATACAAAATATTGATAAAAATATTAAGAAGATCGCACGAGCTTTTTAAGTCCCCAAGTATAGGTCATAGGCCTATAGACCCAACGAAAAACTCTTGAAATAATGAAATCCACTTTTACATAATTTCACATAAATAAGGAAAATATAATTCTGTCCTAATCAAATTAAGTAGTTCTTTGTTTGACTTCAGAAACAGCAATGATTTTAGGAAAAAAAAATCGGTTGGTTTAAAAAAATAAGAAAAAAACCTTTGGAGTTCTAATTTCATAAAAAAAATCCTTAAATTTTAATGTCCATAGGATCTTAATTATTTCGAGAAAAAGGAAAAATTATTCCTCCTTTAATCAATATTAAAATCCAAAATTGCTAGGTAAATATCTGAGATGAAAATTAATAAATAGCGTATGTATGTAAGTTGAGAATTTTAGGGTTTTAGAAAATTTTAAATATGGCTTCTATAATTATTTAACAACAGCTAGTATCTGTACACAGTGTTATTTAAAAAAAAAAACGTCAGAGTGTGTGTTTCACTTACCCCAAATTGCGCAATTTGATTTTTAAGTAAGAAGAAGAAGCAGCACAGTGTGAATGAAGAAATAAATATAAAATTTGAATTAATCAATTGCCTTCGCGAAATTAGTTCAAAATGTAAAAAAAAAATGTAACACTTTGGGGGGTTTCACGCCTCAGCATTTGTAGGTGGCACAGTCAATCTTTGGAAAGAGCCACTAAAAATGTATGTTAAGCTGACCGTTTTACGTTGTATGGAGCAGGACTGCGGACTAAATGTTCCCATCGATTTGTCACACTTCCTATGAGAGAATTTCATAAATATAAATAATTTTCATTTCAGCACCCTATAAAATAGCTAAATCTGGGTTTTCTCATTCGGTTCATCATTCTAAATGGTTTCCGAACTCTAATGCCTTTAAAAAGGTGTTTTGCATATCATGTAGCTAAGTTATTCTTTACAGAAAACAATGGCTTTTAAATTACATATTTTAATGCTAATAACTATTTAGTGCAGGGCGTCTTTAAAAAAAAACGTTCATAACTTTTGAACTCTACATGATAGTGTGCATACATAGCTATACTTAGTAGAGATAATTTTCAGAATTTTTCCTGTTATTACCACATTAGCAAAAATCGATTCCACTGTAGGGGAAAAAATTTATGCAAAATTTTTTGGTTTAAAATTTTTTAACTTTTAAAGTTTGATTTTTTCATTCACAATTTAAACTTAAAATGGTAATATCTTGGGGGAAATGAAGTGATCCAAAACCGGTATACAGATCTGTAATCTGTAGCGTGTTATTCAAAAAGGTTATACGAAAACATTCGATTTAGCTGTTGCTCTACAGGGTGGCGAGAAAAAAAAAATGTATACTTATGAAACACTCGTAATAGTATATATTCAAACTCGAGTTGAACAACTTTATATTATTAATTTTGTACCCTAACCAGCGCATTTTCTAATTTTATTTTTCAAATATTGTTTGCTTTGTTTGTCCATACAGATACGTATTTATTTGTATACGGTGAATTCATGGTTTGTAGCATTTTAGTGTGTGGTAATTTAACACCCAAAATGCTACACATCGTGAACTCCCCTATTGTAAGCCAATACGCTTAATAATTTTAGATATCATCAGTTTGCTCGCACGCATGTTGCCGCCGGTATTCATTACGTTCCTTTGCTTTCCTATGAGAAAATGAGTTTTTGTTTTTTTTTTTTAATGCCGGGCATTAATCTTATAACTACATTATAATTTTATTTACATGATTAGGGGATTCACAAGACGTGCTAAGTGACGTAAAATCTTAAGCTGAAAATTTTTGTATGTAAAATAATGATTGAAATGGTTTTAGAGGATTTCTAATTACACCGAAATGTCTTTAAACTGATAAAAAAAACCTACTTTTAGCCGTTGTTTTACATAAAAGAAAAATTTTAAGCTTAAGATTTTACAACGGTTACCATATCATGTGAATCCCCTAAATATTTTTATACATTTATTTTTACTATTTTTCTGTTCGCTGTTTCATATGCTTTGTTTATTTTTGAAGCAATGTTGTCTTTTTCTGTTATTTTAGCTTCGAATTTCCAAAGTGTAAGCGTATTAAAATAAACTAAATTTGTTTTTTCAGAACGTCCAAATAACTAACTTTAGTGCCAGCTGGTCAGATGGTTTAGCATTTTGTGCTCTAATACATCATTTCTTGCCAGATTCCTTCGATTATAGTAAATTAACACCAAAAAGCCGAAGACATAATTTTGAATTAGCTTTCACTGTGGCCGAGTAAGTACCTAAACAAACAATTGAAAGTAGCTTTTGGATTGCGCCGTTTCTAAATTTTAACTTTTCTTCTATTTCAGTGAGAAAGCTGGCATAGCGCCACTACTCGATGTCGAGGATATGGTAGAGATGAAACGACCCGATTGGAAATGCGTTTTCATATACGTACAGAGCATCTACCGTCGTTTCCGTAATTGCCAATAAAATCGGGAAAAACCACAAATTAAATAATCTTCTGACATCATCTTGGCTTGCGGTCATCAGCAAAAAAAAAAAATGAAAAATATTTATTGAAAAATAACTATTGGTGTATACTAATCCTTCATTGCCATGAAACCGATCTTAAAAAAACGGTTCTACATATTTGCCAAAATTTTTTGTTGTTAATTATGAATACAATGGTATTGGGCACTGGGATGAACGATTTCATGTTCTATGTACTACTCTGCTAACTCTTGCAAAAAAATTAAAACATAATTCATAAACGTATGAAGAAATTTTAACAAAACTACGAAAACCTAGTACGTATTTGTAATTAAATATATTTATTATTGCATATAAAAAAAAACATAACATTTTGTGTATTGGTTTCCTAAATCTTGAGCAATAAAAACAGAACGTATCTCTCATACATATGTACATATGTAGGTACATTGTACATACGAGTATAAACTTTTGTAACTCGATCTGGATCGTACGACGTAGATTAAGTCGACTATATTTTTGTACGTACAAAAATAATTAATGTGAACATTTTTTGAAATTTCTTGTGAATTTACACGCTGTAGCGCAAAATTATTTTGGACTATTGAATAATTGTTCTTGTTGTTGGTGGTGCATTAATGTAAAATTACATACAAAACTACTTGTTAAAAATTGAACTAAGTAGAATAATCGACTTGTAAAAAAAGAAGCAAGCACATTATTGATGATATATATATACATATATAATACATATTTTATGTATAACCGTACTCGTATGGAGAAAATGCAATATTTCACATGCGCTTGTTTTCGCTTTTCTCGATAAGAAACATATGAAATCACGCCTAGATACTAACAACACGTTTATTACAATAAATAATATACATATTTACACATAAATAAATATATCAATAAAGATTTTCTTTTAATTGAAATGTAAAAATATATGTATATGAATAACAATTACACACATTAATTACAAAATAATTATCAATTACAATTTAGTTATGCCTTTCACACATAATCAGTGTTTAAATATTTTTTTTTATTCTCATACCCGTTGTATACTATATACATATGTATTGTAAAATTTACGAAATGTTGACTTACATATTTAGTTATGAGAATTTCATCTAAAAAAATTTTATACACACACACACATATCTTTATTGTTTTTTTAATATTTGTTTACATTTGTACTAATTGTTGCTACGAAAATATAGAGATTAACATTTTCAAGCTACGGTAAACCAATCGTTTCTTTTTAATGCTTAAAATGGAACGTATCGAAGTAAGTATGTATATATCGTCACCTGACATGCAAAAAGACGTAACAATATCGTAACTGTAATAGAAAAAGTCGTGACTAATATTTTTTTATTTCTTTTTTTCATAAAATTATGTGAGAGTTGTAGTTTTTATGGCGATAGAAGAACAATTTATCGACGTTATTGACTTCAACGAAATTGTTCTTCTATCGCTATGGTTCCCACCTTCTTGCTTATCAAGTTTTCTGGTTATATGAATAGCTTTCCCCGCTGTAGTTTATTGCTGGAAACTGGTTAACCAAGTTGAATCTCAGCGTTTCTGTATTTCGGATATGCCATCTACATACATACATACAAATAAACAGTACTGTTCTGCTTACTTTTTAAAATTACTTTTTGATAAATTTTTTGATAAGAAACCCTTCCTCCATTTTGTGGCAAACGCCTGCTACAATTACTTCCGTTCCAGTGTCGTTATATTTATTTGCAGTTGTTGTCAAACTCGAGGCGTCGCTGCTTTGGATTTTCAAAATATGTAAATGGAAAAATGTTAAAATTTTTAGTATGAAAATCGCAAGAAAATAAAAAAAAAATTATTAGTTGATCAATAGAGGAAGTTTTCAAAGGCCTCAAGCTGCAGCAGCCAGCGCCTCCAATTACGTCGTCTTCTCCATCCGACGCCGCTGCTCAACTAGTACCACCGGCCCTGGTTTTGGTTTCACCTACTCCTCCACCTTCGGCAGCACCACCAGCGCCTCCGCCGCCTCCGCCGCCTCCACCGTCATCATTGCTGCCAAGAGCACGAGCTACGCTATTTGACGCCTTGCTGTCCCAACCATCAACATCGGCACGCGCGCCCATTCGACTACGGACCAACGGTATGCAGGGACTATCGGAGGCGACGGCCATACGGTTATTCAACAGCGTTGTGGCAACTGGACAGCTGACTGGTCCCCCCACGACACTCAATGCTGCGCCACTGACGCCAGTCAACGCCGTAAACGACTGCAAATCGGTAACGACGATACAGTCATCAAATGAATTTGGGAACTCTTGTCGCATTTGTCGTTGCAATCGAAGTGACGTACAGCTGTCACGTTGCCCTTGCCAGTGTCGCGGCAGTGTGGTAAGTGTGCTTTGTATCCGACGTTAGGCGAGGTGATTGGTGCGATCGCATATTTATTTGCTTTTTTTGTTTTGCGTTTAAGGGTTTTGTACATATACCGTGTCTGAAGCGTTGGATTTTGCATCGACGAGACACGCATTGTGAAATTTGCAACACCCCTCTCGATATACCGGATGAGAAGTTGAATCTACGCCGCATGTTCGGCGCACTATTCTCGACGCGTTGTGGCGGTGCGATTATGAAGCATTTGCTGTTAAGCATTTCCCTACTGCCGCTGGCTCATGTGGTGCTACAACAGGTGCTCATCTGTATGGACAAAATTAATGCCAGTCCCAACGAGCAGCTGACTGTGCAGGAAGTGGTGGTGGCGTCGTGTGCGCTCTTAACCTCAAGTACGTTACTCGTTTACGAATTACGAAATCATAGCTGCTGTGCTATCACCTAATCCTTTGTATTTATCGGTTTCAAATCAGGTACACTCTTCTTCCACTTTTTCGAATTTATAACAACTCGTTTCCTATTCGTTCGCAATATTCTGCATCAGTGGTGGATGTTTGGAAATCAGGAGAACTTCACTGTAATTGAAGTCGACAGCGAATATTTTGATGTTTTTTGAGTAGTAGCAAGCTACTATAACAATTTTAATTTCAACTATAAGACATAACCAAATGTTCGAAACAATTCAAATATAAAATATTCATTAACGAAGCATTCTTTTACACCAAAAAGCTGTTGTATTCTATGTATATAATTTTATTAGCATATAAGGCGGATGTCGCCACCGGTGCGTATGAGCAACACACGGCTGCCATTTTAAATAATTCAGCTAAGAAGTAGCGTACTTTTAGGCGCATGTATACATCTATACATCGACGAGTGGTCGTAAAACTGTTGTATTTTGGTCCCTAAGACTGGGTTCACACAGAGAAACTTTTGTTGCCATCTTTGGCAATTTCTCCGTTTAATGTTGTCCTTCGCGTTCACACAAAGCAATTCCTTTGTACGCAATTGTTATGGTCGGCTGTGAAGAGCCAACCAGAATTACGGCGCGTTTACATTGGACAATGCTGTCAAGACAATGAAAATATACGTATTAGTTGTCAAAAACGCATGCATGGAAAAGTATGCATGTATTAGTGAAAAAGTGTGCATGTGTTGCTATTGTCATGTCACCCTGCAAAAAATTTTGCAACTAATCTCTAAAGAGAGTATTCCGAGATTACTCTCAATCGGGTACAACTGGGCATTAATTCGTCGCAACTAGTCTCATACGGGTACTAATGGTGATCAGTTAGTCTCGATTAATCCTTTACGGGTATAATTGGAGGTCAATTAGTCCTCGACTCTTCTCTATCGGGTACTATTAACAATTTAATGATATGTACGCACTTAGTCAATGAAATTTCATGTGCGGCGTTGGTACCTAAAAAGAGAGTATTCGCTTAACAAACCTGAGCACCTTGGTTCGAATCGCGGCTGGCGCAAAATTTTATTTTAATTTTTTTTTTAAGTGACTAGTCGCTTTTGTACCCGTTAGGGTTTGAAGAGGAACAATTAGTCTTTTCATAGGACATGCTCGAACAAAAGCGAACAGTTCATTCCATATAAAGAGATCAAAAGTGTTATTAGGCGCATGTTCCTTTGGGATTGCTCCCGGAGTCATTCCAGATTAGTCGCATTTTTTGCAGGGCAGTATTGTCCGGTGTAAACCGTAAGTTACTCAGACGAAAGAGAGCACAAAGCGTGTTGCCCGAGCACGATCAACTCGGTGCCCTTCCCCATTCCTCGACACTAACCTCTGCAAGAAGTAACGAGTTGCCGCGACAAAAGTTTCTCTGTCTGAATCTAGACTAAGTGCTCATTTACACACGGCGATTTTTGTTGCCACAACTCGACGTTTGTGAGAGAGAGCGGGACGAGGAAAGGAGAGGGGCACCGAGTTGCTCGTGCTCGGGCAACACGCTGTGTGCTCTCGTTCGTCTGTGTAAATTGAACCGCGGTTCACAGCTGACAACAACAATTCGCCGCGTGTAAATGAAACGAGCCACACCAAAAGGGAATGTGAAAAATCGCGTCGACAAAAGTTTCCGTGTATAAACACAGTCTAACCGATTCCGGTTGCACATTTTTGATCCCAATAGACTGGCCTCCCTCTTGCACAAGTAGCGTACTCGCTCTAGCATACTGCGGAAGCTAATTTACAAACTCTACAAGGAAAAGCGAAAACCTTTCTTTGTGATTTTATTTGCCAGTTGAATATTTTTAAGTCGTTTGTGAAATTACGTATATTTGGCGATAATTGTGTGTATTTTGATTCTTGAAGTTGTTAAAAGTTCAGGACAAGTGTTCGAATTTAAATTAAACAAACCACAAAGTGTATTGGTGAAAAATAAGTCATACGCAGTCAACGTGTTGGGCAGCAGACCAGTCTGATTATCGACTGTCTGTATTGGACAGGAATCGAGTGGTTCATTTTAGCTGCGAAATTGAATTTATAATGGTGGAAATAGCGCAAGACTTCACAAAGGGTAAAACTCCCGCAACGCTGTATGAACAATGTCTCGGCTGCTACGTCGCCAAACTCAATTACAATGTCCAAACTCTGGATAGTGTGCAGCAGTTGCGATATTTGCCACCAGGCGTACTAAGCGATGTTTATGTCATGGTAAGTTACGTGCCTACTTATACTACATTGAAAATTAAAGAGTAATATTCAGATTTTGGAGTGTATTTAAAGATTCTATAAATCTATGCCCACGTGGACAATTGGAATGAAAGAACGAACATTACCCTGATAGGCAAAAATAGTTTACCAATCGAGTTCGCCATCATAAACGAAAGCGAAATTGCCAGCGAGATGCCAAAAAAATTTTAACTAAATGAACGGGATGGGAAGGTGTATACGTACATACATATGTATATATATCTAACAGTTGACGCTGAGACTTGTTTGACTCGTGCAACCAGTATGACAGATTAGCTACATATTTTGTGAAAGGTGGAGTAGCTGCTGGTAATTGTGTTTATAGACGGTTGCGCTATTCGCATTAGTGATAATGATGAAGTGCCTCCTTCACATGCTATTCTACAATTATGTGAAAAACTCTCCATGTTTGCTAACACACAGATGTATATTGTCATTACATTACATTAGCCAAAATCAGCTGGTGCAGAAATATAAACATTAGGGGTATTCTCGAAGTCTTGCACGATGCACGGATTGCACGAAATGCAAAAATACTATTCCAAATTTCGAAGAGTACGAGAACACCCCATTGCAAAGAGGTAGCATGCATGGGGAGCAAGCAGCGAAATTATGTATCAAATACAATAACAAGAGACAGCAAAAAAAAATTAAGTGAGCGAGATGAGAGGAATGAGAGAAATATGTAGCAATTCCAACAACAAAACAACTAGCACAGGGTCGCTATTATCTTGCTATGCTATTTTGCAAAATATATACATGGGTTTCGACGTTGCATATTTTGCAGCGATAGGAAATGTTGTTTCCCATGAATTTTCTTGTTGTGTGTTTGCAATTTATGCAATCCGTGCAATCCGTGCTACGTGCAATGGCTTTGCAAGATTTGGAGAATACCCCTATTGAGTACGGAATGAAAGAATACAGTCAATCAAGGCGACCTCCAGCGGTGTACACAACAACCCATAACGAATAAAAATTGATAAGGAAAAAGTAGATTGTAGTACAATTGTGATGACTTGCAAGCACACTTTAGTTATTTGTACATACGTATTTACTTTTTGTTTGACATCACTTTTCCATTAAAATTTTTATTTGACGCATGTTTTGCAAACGTAAATACCTAGTACATATTTAGTTGTAGCCTTACGTACATACATATGTACACATTTCACAATATCACTGAGGCACACTTAAATTATTTATAATTAAATGCTAATGACCGACAATTCTATTCAGCCGCCTCGATTTCGGCAAACTGAGGGCTAGTCTTATCAATTCGGTATTCGCTCGTGCTTCTAATTTAGTTAGTATTCCGCGTGACACGTTGCCTGCCGACTGATATGCTGCTCATACATGATTTAATAATAAATTATTATTGGAATCATGCTGCTCATACGTAACAATAGGCTGGTGTATAATGAAACAGATACCCTTTTCAGTGTTTCATGATATCGTAACATAACGATGTTGGGCCACGGAGTAGGATTTGCAAGTTTCGAAAACGTGGCAGATAAATTAAAAACCGCGAATATATACATATATGCTTCTGCTTATCTTTTGTTTACATTCCATTTTAAGTAGTACATATTATATTATATATATATATACATACGCAGCTATGTACATACATATATGTACATAAACATACGCAGCTATGTATACAACTTTTCACTCTAAGCCAGCGATATGTATGAATGTATAATTCGCTTGTAAACAAAGTAAGCTTTTTGATACAGGTTTATAAATACTGTACACGTTTATTTTAATCAAAAGTCATTTAACCTCTTTGTATTAAACACGAAAACTGATGCATGTATTGCGTTGAAAACAACAAATGAAATTTTTCTTATTGCTAATAAAGGAGTAGCAAGAGAAGCGCCCAGTTATATAAATGAAGACATCCATACGTACATACATATATATGTATATATGTTCTTAGTGAACATGAATAAATAGGTGTTCGAAAAAAACCACATAACTTAAGACCTTCATAACTGCACTGATTCCACAAGACGCCTGTGAGATGAACGAAGCTAAATGCGTAAATGGGCTAGCCCTGTTGCTGCGTTTGTCTGTTTTACATATCACTTGAGCAGTATCAATGTCTTTGAACCCACTGCAGTGAACAAGCAATCAATTAAAAAGCTTGGACCATTTTTCGCACTGATAAAGAAAAAGAAAATTGCCACCGCGTAGCTATACCAGGCTATTTGATGATTGCACATTGAAATTTTGAATTCCTTTAAAATGTAGCACAAAGTTGAAACCACTTAAAAACAGGTTGGTTATCGAGGGTAAGTTTTTTGGTGGGGGTTGCTGTTAATTTGCAAAAACTAAATTAATTCTCGAGAAAAAAAGAAAAGTACGCTTAGCTTGAGTTAGGTTTGAGGTCGCGCCCGGAAGAGGTACAGTTTTTTAAGGAGAGTTATTGCATGGTACTATTGTAACATATTTAGGCATATTACAAACATTTTACGTGGTATAAATAACCTTACTGATTGTAATTATATTCCAGATGTCCAAGCATGATGAACTTAAGGACATGCTGTTGGAGCAGCTCATCGATTTAAGCACCTTTGAACGGCTACTTCGGTTTGATCCTGTGCGTCTAAAGCTTTTTCGTTGTCTAACCGCATTGATGAGTAGCGGTAAACTTCTATCCACGCAACTTCAACAAAACTTTACCATGCGCTATCGCCAGAAACAAGACTCAACAAAATTCAACAAGACTGCTACAACTGAGCCAAGCTCAAGCTCAAGCTCTAAACCGCTAAAGAAATCGCCTAATTTTCCCACTACCCCAACCATGGTTGATTTATTTGCCAATGCAAGCATAAGCACAACTGTCAAAGATAATGACGTTTATGAGAACTCAAGCGTGAAAACTGAGTCTTCAATTGTTAATGATATTGACCCAGATGTAATTT